CTAATTTTATTTGAGAGATTATTTTTACTAATAAATATTTCTCTTTATTTATATTGTTATTTTAATATAAGGTATTTTTCGTCAGTAATTTAAAGTAAATTAATTAATCATAATAAAAATAATTATTTAATTCATTTTTAAATGCAATTACATGAAATTAAAAAAATTATAAAAAATTACTTTAATACTTTAAATTGAATTAAATTAAATTGAGCTAAATAATATATATTATAAATTTGAATTAATTTAATTTAATTTAATTGTTTAAATAATTTTTTAAAATGAAAATTAAAAATATCTTTCTCAATTTGGACTTTTAATTCCAACTAATTGTACAAAATAAGTGAAAAAAAAAAATTAGGGAACTCTATAAGTCTTGACCAGTTAAATAAATAAATAGAGACATACCTCACAATTCTTATGTATTTACATATCTAATACATAAACTTATGACATACCCCCCAAATCTTTCACATCACATTAAGAACATCAATACTTTGACTTGATTTAAAAAAATGAAATAAATCTTTTCCTGCATAGAATATAGCATGTAAGTAAAAATTGAAGGTTAGGTGTTATATATGTAAATACGTAAGATTTTATTTGTTTGCACGTAAATCTTTCTAGAAAATAAAAAATGCCTCCGCCGTTGGGCCAAGCACCAAGCGGACCAACGACGAAACAAATGTGTGTGTATGTATTATTTAAAATTAATTTTTTAATAAAAATTTATATTTTTTTATAAATTACGTACACCACATTCTTTACTTATAGCCCAGATGAATTAATCATTCACTCTGCGAAAATATTCAAGAGATATTACAAACAAAAATGCATATGATTCTCTTAAAGGTCATATGCATCAGATCATCTTTTCCTGTTAGAATGACAAAATGAGTAGGTCCAATCAATATCTTTCTTCTCTTTGGTGTGGGAGACGGCCACAGATCATCTTCTTCATCATTTTCAGGGTTGTTACTACTCTCAAATTTATTCCAATTGATTTTTTCCTTATTGCATGAGCATGCAGTCTTTTTAACTGTAAAATTACAAACATAAAATTCATTATTCACAATAAGCATATACTGAAATTATCTCTCCCTTTTTAGAGCTCATGTATGTATGTGAATCTCTGTGTGTGTTATTGAGCAAGATAAACAATTACCGAATAATTCATACGAAGAAAATTTTCTTTTTGTTGGTGCAACTATTCGTTTTCCATTTTTCAAAATAGAGCAAGCCGTGTCCTCAAGATCCTCATCTGAAGTATCATATATGTAAATTTTGTGTGATTCAACTAACTCCTTGGAAGCCATTAATTTGATCTGATCACCAGCACAATTTTAGTATAATTCATTAATTATATTATATAATAAATAAATAAATAAATAAAATATTGATTCAACATAAAATGCTTGAAACTAGCCAGTAATTTAAGCGAAATGAATTCAATCTACATATATTTAATCAGTTTAACTCGAAGGTTCACCATGAACGCCACTGTTCAGAAATGAATCAAATGTTCTTTAGTAGTCTTATGCACCGTATAAACTACATATTTAGATGTGAAAAAAAATTTGATGAGCCAGTTAATTAGATATAATAAACAATAATTATTTCAATTAAGAAAAAATATTTTTTTGGCAAAACGAATTTGATTTTTTTTTCCGGGTAATTGACACAAAAAAAATATATAAAATTGTAAAATCACATGGTTCCTTTCATGATAAATTGCCAATTTTTCTCTTAATAAGAAACATGATGTAAAATGCAAGTAATAACAATAAGACCAAAGCTCTTCAATTTATAACTATAGATTTGTAAAAAAACTTACATGTTTGAAGAAGATATAATGAAAAAATATATAAAAGAGCTTAAAATTGCACGATTATTTTTGCAATATATCATCGAAGTTTTCCCTTAAAATTAAGAAATTTGAAATGAAATAATAATAATTATTATTGCAAAAATAACAACACCTAAACGCTTAATTCTTTGGCAACCAAAATAAAATATAGAGCAAGCAAACATGGAACATATAATTACTAATCAGAGAAAAAAATATACACAAACTGAAAAGTCAAAAAAAACATTTTTCATTCCAAGTGGGAATTCAATTTAAAACCCCACGTGCTAAATAAAATCCGACTAAAATCATAATGCAATTTCTTACAAAAACAATGCAATCTACCCAAATAAAATATGCTAAAATCGTTGAATATATAATATGTAATCGTGGGGAAAAGTTCAAGGAAGAACTGATAAATCCAAAAGAAATGTTTCTTGTAATATGAGAATCAGATTCTAAACTGAAAAATAAAGTGTTTGGAGATTATCAGTCTAAACTAAAACATTTCGATATCTGATTCAAAATTGGAATAAGCTGGGATTTCTCCATCTCGATCGCAGAGACGGTGAACTCGATCTCGATCTCTAATTAGGTAATAGTAGGCGGTGAACTCTGAACTCGAAGATGATTTTAGAAGGAAATTAGGAAATATACTTAATAAGTAATTATATGTAAGGTGAGGTTTACTTTATTTTAATACTTCTTAAATTGGAAGAAATTCATTTCTATTTTCTCATTTATTTCTATAACGGCTAACAACCTTTAAAATATAAATATAGACTCATTCGATTTTTTTTGAATTTCTCGGAATTGGCAAAAAAATTAAGATGGCGATTTTTTTTGGGTAATTGGTGGGAGAATTTAAGTATTTGAGGAGTAATTAGCTTGAAGGTAATGAGAATAATTGAATATAAGTTCTTTTTTTTTTTTTGCGCAATAAAATGCATTCGGCAATCGAAATAAAATCTGGTAGAATACATATGAAAGACTCGATAATCAGATAAAAAATAAAAAAAAAGCTTAATTACAGTCATTCGATAATCAAATTAAAATCCTAATACAATGTGGTTACAAGACGCAATTCAAAAAAAAAAATAGAGCATAATTGAATAAGATAAAAAAAAAAAATAGAGTCTTACCGAAAGCTAGAGGATGAACAGTAAACGCGATCCTTTAATTGAAAAAGAGTTGTAAGTAAATATATAAAGATGAGGTTTTCTTTTTTAAGGTTTACTTAATTTAAAATAAATTTCAATGGCTAGTAACTTTTCAAATATAAACCTCCCATTTTGAATGATTTTTTCTTACTAAATTTTCAAAATTAGATAGGGGCTGTTTAACAATTGATTCAATTTCAAAACGTGGAGATATATATATGTATGAAGGTGCTAACGTATTAGACGGAGGAATATATAGTTAGCTTTGGATGGTCGGTCCGTAATTGCACCTTTTAAATTCAGATTAATGAAATGTCTTAATTTAAACAATTTTCTGGGCCGCACAAACATTACGTTAGAAAGAAAGGTGGTGAGAGTGAGAAGGAGAGGGTTAAGGAGGAATTTTGAGGGAGTTTAATTTTTATTTTTCTAGATTATTTTACGTGGTATCAATCCAGCATTTATAATTTCAATAAGAAATACATAATATTTAAGGATTGATGCAGTGCTATAGATGTAAATTCTCCCGTAAAAAAGAAATAGCATCACTTCATCACATTATCCTTAAAATTAAAAATAACATTATAATTGCATTCAACTAATTAGTATTTAACTTGCACATCGCATATATCATTATTTCTTAACTTAAAATTAACATTTAATGATCAACAAATCATAAGCGAATCACCAAACACTGTTCAAAAAAAGAACATCCAAATTTGAACTTGTGAAATACATCAACAATTAGTCAACTCCATAATTGCAGTAACAATATCACCATCAGCCGCTTTAAGAGCCTTCACAGCTTTTCCCCTCGGAACACCAGTCTGAGTCATAATAAGCTCAATATCCTTCGGCTCCACACCACTCTCATCGACTTCTTCACATCTTGAGAGGCGGCAGACGCCTCCGGCTTACTACCTTAGATCAGAAGCCCTGAACTGTTCGGCATCCTGGGTTTGCAATTGGGAGCTTAGATCTTCGATCTACGCTTCGCCAAATATTACGTAAGTATCTGAGTTTGGGCTATTGAATACATCTGGCTTCGAAATAGCGAAGTGTATCTGGATGGGATAGGTGAGCTCACGTTTTTGGTCTTCTTTATTGTAACACGGCTAACACCACTGATTAGCTTCATTCCAAGCTTCAGCATGGCCTTTCTGCTCTTTTTTTCACTTCTGCTCTGCTTAGACCTGCCACTTGCATCACTTCCTTGACCAGTACTGAATTTGAAACAGAAACATGATTGCAGAAATGCAGGATTGTAATGCTTTTCTAGTAGACAAAATAGCTCCATGATATTTGGATTATGAATTGAACAGAAATTGATTTAATTCTATGTGAGGGTGGATCGATTGAAATTAATCTGATTCAACTCAAATTAATTTGACATGTACGCACACATAAATAAAACAAATTGACATATATGTCCGTATGAAGGACAAATATGTGAGGGCGGATCGATTGAAATTAATCTCATTCAACTCAAATTAATTGATATGAATGCACACATAAACAAAACAAATGGACATATGCGTCCGTATGAAGGACAAATATGATTGTGACATTGTATTTTCTTAAGCCATATTTAGAATTAATGTCTTTATTTTATTCATCACAGGCAATTAGATCATATATGTTTAAGGTAAATTTGATTAATTAAAATTATATCGCATGATCTATTATAAATAAAGCGTCATGATACGTATAATAATTAGATTATGATTATTGAATGAGTGATGTGTCACCCGACCTATACCTCCTCTAAGTTGTGCCAAGTTTCATATTTTTCCTCTATCAACCTTATTCCTCAACCTCTTTTAAGGCTTCATTCATATCTTCTATTGTAACTAAACATTGATTGGTGCCAGAACTCAATTTCATCCTATAATCAACAATGACAACACAACAAGATGTTGATCTACACTAATGAAAACCAATTTCAAGGCTTCCATGAAATTCTTAAGGGGGTTTTTACATAAATACCATTAAGTTTGTATATATTTACATAGGTAAAATCTAAGTATTTATATTTACTTATATAACAACTTAATCACTAAATGAAATAAAAAATGCCACTGATATTAATATATCTAAAGTGATCTGCACCTTTCCATATATACATTTTGATGTCATTTAAACACTAAGATATATTTTTTAAGAAAATATAAGGATTTAGGAGTTGGATTTGTAAATACATAAGAATTTGGTGGTATGTCTCTAAATCTTCTAATTCTTAATGGTATGTTTTTCTTGGTTTTCTAATATAAATAGCCTATATTCTAAATGCTATATTTTTCTTGGTTTTCTATAATTAAGATGTAGGCCACCACAAACTCTTCCAAACCTTAAACCAAAGACTCACAACACCAAACTCATGCATACCTAATCCTAAACCTCTTAAAGACTACTTAAACTAACAACAACAACAACAAGCCTTTATTCCACTAAGTGGGGTCAGCTACATGAATCATTTTTCTCCATTGAGTCCTATTGAGTGTCATATTTTCATTTAATTCTAATAGATTAAGATCATTTTTTTCTACAATCTGCTCAAGTCTTTTTAGGTCTACCTCTGTCTTTCTTAACATAAGTAGAATCTAAAACAACTACACTCTCCTAACAAGATCATCAGATGGTTAACGTTTAACACAATCAAATCATCTAAGACGTCTCTTTCTAATTTTGTCTTCAACCAGAGCTATACCAACCCAAGCACGGATATATTTATTTCATATTTTGTCTCTCTAAGTGTCAGGCCAATCATCCACCTAAGCATTCTCATCTCAACTCATCTCAACAACACTTAACTTTGTTTTATGCTTCTCTTTTAAAGGCCAACATTTTGCGCCATAGAGCATTGCAAATCTCGCCACTATGTTATAAAATTTTCCTTTCAGTCTAAGCGGTACTTTTCTATCACACAATAGGTCTGATGCATTCCTCCACTTCAACCAACCAACTTGATTTCTACTAACAACATCGCCATCAATACCAGTATCACTTTAAACCATCAACCTGAGATATCTAAAATGATCACACATTTTATAAATAATTAAAAAAAAATTACCCTTAAGCACACTAAAGACAAAATTAAGTCGAATGGTTCTCATGGTTCGTCCTCATCTGACAATCATTTCTATTTAATCAGAAATTCATAGTGACACTCATGAATTAATGTCATCTTATGCACATCCTTCGGTCGCATCCAAATCCAATGGTGCCCTGACTTCTAGTCAATTTTAGAAAATATCTCAATCCCAAACAGTTCTTGTAGCTCCTCGATCACCACAATCTTTGTCAACTCTGTATCATGTGTTTCTTCCATCTTTGTATACTTCGATCCTAATTGTTTTCGATTGTTCGAGCCATTTAAATGTCGCACTATTTCTTTCAAATGTTGTCGCTCAAGTCTGCTCCTGAATTCTTTACTCAATACTGCAACTTCTGATCCTACTAAAGCAGTGACGCTGTCATGATGTTACATCAATCCTTCTGGTTAACGAGCATCCGTTCCCAACACTGCTGCTCAATCTCATGACAAGCAGAGGTAAATTGTGTAAAACCCCATGATCTTTTTCATCACTTCTTCCAAGGCTTTAAATCTTTGCTCGAACCTTCACTCCATAGACGAAAAACGTTAGTCTAATTCATATTTAATGTGGCTCAATTCTCCCTTTAATGTTTCCTCAAAAGCATTCATTTTTTTAACCGAAAATACTTCTAGAAAACTTTTGATTACAAAAGCAAAATTTTAATACCCTAAAATTCCGAGGTTTGCTTCCAAATAAGTCAAATTTAGTGATTTTTTATCACTTCAATCCCATTGTTGCTTCCCAAGTAGCTCCAATCACAACTGTCAAGTGAGATTTGGTCACACGATAACCGATCATCAGTCGATCTCGTCCTCATGTCGATCTCGTCCTCCCAACTAGCTCTAGCCACATCTTTACGAAGGAGAGTGGGAATAAGAGAAAGTGGGAGTTACGAAGCAAACACATGAGAAAGTTGGCAGTTTCGTGTCTTTGTATGACTGCCTTCCTAACTTGAGCTGCTTTTAAAGAAGGCATGCCGCAATCCCTTCGTCACTTCCTAACGAGCTCTATCATACGGTTCGGTCCAATGGCACGCTCGAGCCCGCCATAGGCTTCCCCACTGATTGGAATCGCGACAGCTTCACGTTCGGTGGTCACAAAAAGAGCATAATGTGACTACATAGCGATCAGCTTCCCGAGTGCACAAGGATGTCATCATTCCATAGAAATTGAATGCTCTGATACTAATTTGATAGAAAACAAAACATAAGTCAACACAGAAATTAGGTCAAATAATATTTTATTGCAAGAACATCAAACAAACAAATATAATACAAAGATAAGCATCCTGCACCCATAATTCGAGAGGCAGGCAATCTCTCCCAATTCCTACAATTCGAGAGGTAAAAAATCTCTCACAAGCCGCAATTACATATATACCACCCGAAACTTGCTATTTATAAAGCAACCACCTTCTTTCATCCATTTTCCAAATTCTCACTCAAATAACAAAATTCATAGTAAAACCCCTATTCATATTTTTCATTTTTATCAAATTCTCAATTTGATCGCAGCACGTGTAAATACATCGCTTTGGTAGTTCAAGAAAATCACATGAGTGGTTTATTCACACAGACACAAGCACAAGCACAGGCACACATACATATGAGTTCAAACTTTTAGATTTCAAATCCAAATCAAATTTTAAATTTCATTGCAAATATCCTATCCTTTCCAACCCCTTCTTTTACGTTAAAAATCTATCAACATCCTCCATAGTTCCTTCAAAATTTCATCATTAATATCCCACATAATTCCCTCAAGATCCTCCATAAAAATCTCCAAATAATCTCTATGAATTTCTACTTGAAATTTAAAATTGAATTTCAAAAAATTTCAAACCATTCATTCTGATCAGTTATTTTTCCTCCACAAGTTTCTCCACCCACCTTGACCCAATCAAGCCTAGTAAGA